TAGAAATTGCCTCAACTCCCTACATTTACATTATTTTATTATATCTTGTTTAAACATTCCGAAAATGTCAGTCAGTGTATAAGTTATATTTGTATGTATTTATAAATTTACTTGAAAATTATCGATAATCGATCATACATGAGCCAGACCTTTCTCTGTCCCCAATTTACGTTATATATTGTTTATAACATATAATATTTTAATGAAATTAAGTGGACAAGTTTTCTGAAAAATATGAAAAGAATGAGTGTTTTATACATTGATCCCGACTGCTTATCCCTAATATAAATATTTCCGACTATATACTTCTCTCGTCAACACAATATATTAGCTTTAGCATTGCATAGCATAAGTATGGTACATCGCATTTAAGAATGATTTTAATATAATTTTAAGTCTGTTAAATACTTTTCCTAATGTTTTTAAATACAATTTTGCCAACACTTGAAAGTATTACCTGGCTTTGCTCTTTCTGAGTTGCACGAATGTAAAATGTGCAGTTCAGTGATTTTAATATTCTGGATGTAGTTATGTGTAGAAGATCACGCAAGTGGGGAAAGTTTAATGATCGCCGTTCACTTGGGAGTGACCAGATACGATTCTTTTACATATGGCTCAAACAGCTCACGACTTCAGGTCCTAAACCAAGTATCTTCTGGATAGCCAAATAACATCTGTTTAAGACTAGAGTGAGAAGGCGAAACATCCCCTCCTCAAAGTCGTGCATGGTTGGAGACCCGCTACTTAAAAAACGCAACCAATGAACAGTCAAAAACAGCTCGAATGAGAACCCCCCTTTTGATGATGACCACTGCAAATGCGTTAAGGATTTGGATTTAAGGACATGCACCTAGAATGTCGGGTCCCTTAATTGGGAAGTCGAAGCTACCCAGCTAGTTGATATCCTACTTATAGTGAAGGCTGACATCATCGCCGTCCAAGCAATGCGATCGACGAGACAAAGACTGAGGCGGTTTGGTCCTTGAGACATTTACTACAGTGGTCATATAAAGGAGCGCATATTCGGTGTGGAATTCGTGGAGGGAGAGAGATTCCGTCGCTGACTACTGTCATTCACACCGGTGGATGAACGTCTAGCCACAATCCGTATCAAAACGAAGTTCTTCAATATATCGCTGATTTGCGCCCACGCCCCAAYGAAAGACAAGGACGATGTGACCAAAGATACTTTCTATGAGTGCTTGGAGGGCACCTTTGAGAACTGCCCCTGCCACGATGTCAAAATCGTGCTTGGCGACTCTAACGCCAGGATGGGCAAAGAAGCTGTCTTTGGCACTACTGATCGACTTCGCCTTTGCCCGAAATATGGTTATCTGCAGTAGTAGATTCAAATATAATAAAATACATCAGGTACCTGGCTGTCTCCGGATTGAAAAGCCAACAAGATCGATCACGTTGTGGTAGATGGAAGACACCTCTGGATTCTCAAATTCGACGTCGAGAAGCTGCAATCACAACAGACAGCTGAACAATTTTTTACCTGGATTGCACTCCTGCTCTCTGAGAGCAACTTACTCGGTATAAGGGAACTGTGGGACAGCATYTCAACCTCCAACCAAAACCTTTGGTTTTCAGAAAATGCAGAAGAACAGCTGATACGATCAAGAGTGCCGTGTCACAGCGGAGAGAAAGCAAACTGCCTACCCCGCAACGTCACAATAGACCACAGCACGTGCGGGATGAGTTAGATACTGGGAGTTGAAGAGGGAAGCGAGACGCATTTGCAGCCAGGGTTAATACTCCAAAATTCTACAAAAAGATGCGGCGACTAATAGAAAGTTTCAAGCCTGCAGAATGGCAGTGAAAATATAACGTCAGGAGAAGCCGACCACGATGCCCCAATCGATGACATAGGAGCAGACGTTCCATTGCCCGACAATGAAGAAATTCGAATAACAATTACCCGTGTGAAGAACAACAAAGCGGCATGGGCCGATGGATTACCGGTCGAACTTTCAAACACGGTGGCAAAGAACTGATAAGGAGCATGCATCATCTTCTTTGTATAATATATTCGGGCGAAAGCATGCCCAACGATGGCAATTTGAATGTGCTTTGCCCAATCCACAGAAAGGAAGACCCCATAATCTGCGCCAACTACCCTGCGGTAAGTCTCCTCAACACCGCGTATAAGACTCTATCGAGGGTATTGTGTGGAAGATTGCCCAGCTTCAACAAACTGATTGGATTTTATTAGTTTAGCATTAGACCTGGAAAATCAACAACTGACCAGATCTTCAATAAGAGTGTACAGCTGCTGGCATGCGCCGATGATATGGATATCATTGGCCTCAATGCCAACGCCATTAGTTCGGCTCTCTCCACACTGGATAAGGTATCAAACAAACAGCCGTCGTACTCGCGATTAGGTACCCATATAACTGTTGACAGTTATAACTTCAAAAGCGTTGATAATTTTTTTGTTCTTGGAGCCAGCATCAACAACGTCAGCATCGAAATCCAACGCGGAGTACTTCTTCGGACTAAGTAGGCGATTGAGAAGTAAAGTATTCTCTCAACGAACAAAAACAAAACTTTATTAGTCACATATATAGTTATAGTTCAGCGAATCAAAAGAGAGCGGATATGCTGCCTGAGCCATATCGTCCGAATGGACGAAAACATTCTAGCTATGAAAGTATTCCCCCTTCACTCCGTCGGAAGGACCAGGTGGAGAAAGACCTGATTTCGCTTGGAATCACCAATTGGCAATAAGAAGAAACGACTGGTGCGCTGTTTTTAACTCGACTATAACCGCGTAAGCGTAAGCGTAATTCAGTAATGTTTACAATTTCTTCATGGAAATAATATTAATGAAATATTAAGAAAATCATCTTCTCCGATGAGGCTCAGTTTAATCTGAATGGTGCGGTAAATAAACAAAACAGTCAACTCTTGTGCAAAGAAAATTCACAAATTATTCAGGAACAACCATAACATTCACCTAAATTGATAGTTGGATGTGTTTTTAGGTCTGAGGGAATCATCAGTCCGTATTTCTTTCGAAATGAAGCTTGTCACACCGTTACTGTCAATGGAGGGTGGTACAGATCGAAAATCATAAACTTTTAATGACCACAATTGGAAGAAATTCCTCTTGACAATGTTTGGTTCCAGCAAGTCGGAACTACGTTCCCCATAGCACATGCAACAACCGAATCATTGCGAGAAAAGATTGGACATTCGATTATATCAAGAAATTGAGCCATTGAATGGTCTCCAAGACCATGTTGAGGGGTTATTTGAGTTCATTGGCCCTTAGCTTTCAAGGTTTAGAAGTCAATATTGAACGTGCTATTCATGACATACGACTTAATATAGTAGAAAAAKTACTCGAAAATTTGGTTTATCGAATGCGTTCCTTTTAATTAAATATTGTTTCCGATATGCGATTTAGTATTAATTCAATGATGCAAAAATGCAACATTTTAAGAAAAAGTGTTAAATGATAAGCGTTTTTCATTAATTTCGTAAATTACAGTTGAACAGTTTTATTATGTTGTATGTACTAATTATGAACGAAAACAATGGAACTTCTGATTTATAATAGATGCCATATTTTGCTCTTATATAATTTAATAAATATTCAATTTGTAGGATGTAATGGAACACTTGTACAATGTTACCTATAATGAGCAACATTTTCGTCGAGAAAAGAGTACGCTATAAACTATTTATTAATATTTAACATTAAATAAACATCTGGCATGAGACTCCATGTGGTTTGGTGCAAAATATTAACAAATCTACGGCCCCATATTCAATATAATGATTTATTTTCTGTTGATAGTTGCCAATTCAAATTTTTTTGTAATAAAAAATGGTGAATTAATTTTTATCGGAACATGTTGAAAAATTGGGTACTGGTTTTGTTGTTTGTATAACATAAAATTAAATTATTACATATCTAGATATGGCCAGGATGACCACACGATTTGTCCGTGCATGATAGCCCCGCTCACCCATACAATTTTTACTTGTACGTTACACAATAAATATACGTCAGAAGCAGTAATTTTTACAGATAGTGGTTAAATGTTTGAAATGCATCGGTATAAAAAATGTTTCATAGTACGACTCATACATACATGAAGACATAATGCAAACTTTCGATTGACTTTTTTCTGTATAAATCCATTTAGGTATATAATGGTAGAAGCAATAAGTTTTACAGATTCTGATTAAAGGTTTCAAATGATTCGGTGTGAAAAATTAGAATATGGGCGTAATTTTTTTTGGTTTGTCGCTATGTAAACTTTGGCAATATTAATTCAACCGTATACCGTATAAATCGGTGAACAAGTTAGACATTAGCAATATTAAGTGAAGTACCATTTTGGTATATACTCGTATAGTTTAATGCCGAAAGTGTGTTTTCGATAATCATTGAGTAAGCTTAATACAATTAGTTCAAACCTTCCAGTTACCCGATGTACTAATTTTCGTCTGTCCATCTGCCTGAATTGTATAAATGAAATCGGAAACGTCCGATTATATTACCTATGTATTAATCTAGTCCGTTTAGTTGAGATTAAATCTTTTATATATCATATGAGTTAACTTTGTTGAGTGTAAATTAAAACATAGAACAGAAAGCAAAATTTAGTAAAGAAATTAAGTGAGTCTATAACCTACATACATACGAGTATAATATAAGTTGATAAGATAAGAGGTATGATTTTAATACATTCAAGGTTTCGTAGAATAATGAATGCTGCATTTTTCGCAAAATTTATGACATTAAGTTTTGCCAACTCTTAAAAGCATTTCCCCGTCTTTGATCCTTCCAGTATAAAGTTGTCGGTTACATTCGAGCTCAGCTTTTCCTTATTAAAATTTATTACTACTAAGTATTTGACCAGCGTTGAACATTGTGAATTAGCGTAAATTTGAATAGATTTTATTCATCGAACTTTATCTGATCTTTTAAAGTCCGAAATATGATTTATAATTTCATATGTCTTTGTTTTTTATTTTAGTTCGATCGACAGTCTTCAATTCGTTATAGTTCTCGACGTGCGCGCACTCTGGAATCACTTGCTTCCTTATATGAGGTAATGTATAGTCTCTGTACTCGTATGCTATTATACTATAATAATCGAAATTGCGAAGTCATTATATTAGTACAGTGTACTATTTTTATGTTACGAGTTTCTATCACTGCTGCAATATAGTAAGGCATCATATTATACGCCAAAATGTAGAAGTATGAATAAAGTATCTCCTAAATATCAGCAGGAAAACAAATGTGTCGCAATATTTGAGCAGTTATTTGCTAGCACGAACCTTTCCTTTTTGTTATCGATTATTTACTATCACTGTATGACTTAAGCAAAGATGTGCGCAGAAAAAGAAATATTACCAAAGGAGAATAGAATTAATTATAACTAAATAATGAAGTAAGGTCTATTTAATTGAATCACAAAAACTATAAATTATATTATTAAGAACAAATTAAGGTATACGTTTTTAGACCTTTTCCAAATTTTCTAACGTAAACTGAAATTACAATTAATACTTGTAGTAGGTTTGGCTAATAAAACGAAATAGAGAAGATTCAAGGGTTTATTGTATAAAGGTCCGGCCTTCCAACGGGCAAAATAACAATAATATTTACAATTTTTCCTTTAGTTTTCGCAAATGTATCAAGACATAATTCCGATTACTTTGGCGTTCGGTTAAAAAACTCGAAACTCGGCATAAACGGGTATGTACGGGTAGGGAAGCCTTTCCAGATAAGAATTATGTTGCTAAAACTTATATTTTTTAAATATTCTCGTTTAAAAATTCAAAATAATTATTTTTAATAACACTTAGTATTTCACAATTTGGGTACTCACAACGCGTCATAAAGGATCATAAATTTTTTACTAGTTTAAAAATTTTTTTATTGGATTGCATACTAATATAAGTTTTCGCAAATACAACTCTGAAAGCTATGTTTTCGGATCGTTATAACTTATAACTTCATGAGATTATGTGAAATCCCTAAATGTTTCACAAAATTTTTCGCATTTTTCACTATGTATATTTAAATACATACTCTAAACATTGAAATAAGTTCATGCAAGTATTTAATTTTTATTTTGTTATATTTTAGCTATATTTATTAATTTAAAAATCACTTAGCACACTCATCGTTGAAAAGGTTAGATTGTTTACAATTATGAGGAAAACAAGCGTTGCCACAACTTAAACACCAAATATGTAGGATTTTCAACGATTTTTCTTTGTTTGTATTATCAACAACAACCCTGGTCGAGCCAATACCCAGGGCGACTGAATTACTTTCGCTTATTACTCCTTTACAAATCTAAGTATTTTATTACTTAATAGTATAATTTAATATTAATTAGTTGTTTATTAAATTTAAATAAGAAAATATCCATATGCATAAAAAGATTCTTTATACTCATCTTAATTTGAAATACAATTTATAGACGCTTGTTTTTATTATAACTAAGATTGCTAATTAAAGAAAGAGAAATTATAGCGAAAAAGAGAAATTTCATCGAATTGCTCATAAAAGAATTACCCTGGTCGAACCAATACCCGGAAAGATTCGTTACTCATTTTAATTTGAAATATAATTTATGGAGGCTTGTTTTTACTAGAATTTAGATTGCTAAATAAATAGGAATTATAGCGAAAAAGAGAAATTTCATCGAAATGCTCATATAATATTTGCTTATTCCATTTCCTCATAATTGTTAGCACATAAATGATGCTCACTACGCGTGTAAAAGGTAATTTTTAAAATATAAATTTCTTACTTCTTAAACCAGCAAGAAGTGTAAATTGTGAATTCGTTTAATTGTTTACTGTTTGAATTAATTAAAAGAATTTGAAATGAAAAATGTGCATAATGTGTGTTAAATGTAGTGAAATAGCCTGGTGAAATGTTGGATTTTGGGAATTTTTGAACTTTAAAGTCGAGTATCTCGTACTCGTATCTCGTACATAAGCGAACTTCGTTTAAATCCAGGCTTGATGCGGTTAGCGATAAATGCCGGAGTTGAATTTGGTCCGTATATTTCTTAAAATTTTTTTTATTATTTTATTTGCCAAATGACTTTACATCTACTACAGAAGTAAGAGGAATTGTCAAAAATAATAACATGTGTAAAAACTTCCGTTATAAATTTTGTTCAGTATTTCCTTACATAATTAATGAACAGTCCATGCTTGAGTTAATTGAGGTAAAATTAGGGGTATATATTAATAAATTAAAGTGAAAAACAAAGGCCTATTATATCGGAATATATTTTTTGGAATTTGTTACTTTTTTGTAATAAAGCTGTTTCATCAAAATGTAATAAAATGTTGGTGTTAGAAAATTGATGATATGACAGATAACACCCATACCAATAAAAARAAAATAAAATATTACAGTGTCTAGTACATCAAAATATCAATTTTAAATATTTTTTCTTGTTTTGGAAATCGGTGCAAATTCTTCTTGAAAACGTGTATCAATACCATATTTTCTTGCATTTTAATTGGCTTTGCATTTGAATAATTCTCAACCATTTGTATAAAATTACAACTTTGCTTTGGTCTCTGCTTAAACTTTAGACGCATTGCCCAAATTTAAGTTCGTATATTTTGTAAAGTTTTGGAGGCATAATTATTGTTGTTCTATACATTATACACATATTTTGAAAATAGGGAAATTATTCAAAAATTCAGTTCGATCGAGATTTCTGGTAAGAATTCGAGGGCAACCTGAGCCCCTGCGCCACTGCTTTACAACTACGTAAATGGCAGAAATCTATATTTGTCAGTTTCATGTATATGCTATTTTTCGCACGTTTGAACAGGTGCACAAGGCACGCACAGGTGAATTGGATGTATCTACGGCTGAGCAACGCGTACAAACTCTTAAAGCTGCGACAATCTGTTCCCTGCTTATCCGTGTCGTTCCCTAAACCTTTCTGTGTCATCACAGGAGTCAGCGCAATCATTGCTGAATATTGTGGATATTAGTTTCTCTGCGTTCGTTAGCTGTTATGAATTTGCCAGTTCAAACGCGAGATACACCCCTATCCTGGTTTTTGGGGGTTATATGCACTTATTTTCTGAAAAAATGTTTTTTTTTTTGAGATTTTGATACTGCTGATACGTTTATATTATATATGTTTGAAGTTGTTAAATTTAATTTTTCAGTAAAAAATTTGTGCATTTGCTGGGACTACAGCTTTACACTTTTTTCTTTCACGCTTTGCGGTGAAAATGATAAGTAGGTGATGGTTTATCTGCAAATAACGAAAATAAAAGTGTTTTTTTCGTTTATATCATAACGCCTAAGCRTTTTTACGCAAGTGGTGATGATTTTACTACAAATATCGATTTTTGTGGATCTAAAAATTAAATTTTTTCATTCTCAGAAGAAACTCTGGTTACAAATAAAAAATCCTTCGTTCAAGTATGATGTATTGTAGTTTTCAAGTAGCCCATAAAAATTAGATCGATAGGTTACATGTTTCTTTATGAACCTTGACCACCGCAACGGTACGAGCGGTCGGCATGTACTCGGTGGCACATGGGAGAAGCGGGCTGTTGAAAGCTGTAACTTTGGTTCTAGTGCACAGATCTGTATGAAATTTGGAAGGAGTAATCTTAAAAGTATGTATATACTTTAAGGAAATGCAATAGAAAATGTCGATTTTTCCTACCCACACAAGTGTATAAAACCCCTTTTCCTTCTTTGACCTTCTACTACGACCTGACGTCTGTGGTCTTATATCGAAGAGAGACACAATGAAGCAGGGACATTAACATCTTAAATAATAATTCAGGCTTGCGCTCATTTATCACTTACATTTTGGAAGTCTCGTTTGGACGAAATTGTAAGCAGCTTTTCTAAGCTCGACGAAGGGTATGATGTCGATGAGATTATTGATGATCTCAACAACTCAATCACAAACATTAGAAGGGCGTTACTGATACGCTTACTACTGCAAGCTAACGCACAATCTCCTGACGACTCTTATGGTAGTGCCTTAAGGAAATTCTATCGTAATATTACGAAATGTATGGCATGTCATGTAGTCCATAAAATGTAGTGCGAACATTTTTAGAAGGTGCTGTCGATAATTATAGAGTAATCAGCGACCATAATCAAGCCGATACTTGAAGAATCCTCTTCTTTCCATGAATACTATATTCACGTCCCTATAACTACAACGCGCAAAGGACTAAAAATCTTTCCCAGAACCTTTCTATCGAAAACTAATGAGAGACTTATAGAGATATTCTGCGTTTGATTTCGAGGCTGAGGTGTTGATGGTGGTTCCAAGATAGATGAAGTTACCTACGAAGTTATTGCTGTCAACAGTGACGTGYAACCTAGTCGCGAGTGCGACGACTGTTTGTTTGATGACAGGGGTAATTCGTCTTGCCCTTGTTCACCACTAGAACTAACGGTGCGGGTGTTGAGGCCAGTGATATCAATATCATCGGTACATGCCAGCAGCTGTACACTCTTGTAGAAAAGGGTACCTTTTCTGTTTAGTTCTACACCTCGAATTATTTTCTCCAGAAGTAGGTTGAAAACTCTGTTTACACAGCCGTATTAGTTTTGGTTGATACCAATTCAGATATCGCGACATAAAGACAGCTCCTTTTCGTGCTCTCTTTTTACGAGTCTTTTTGTGTATTGAGCAGAGCACACTTAAATTCCAATCGTTAGGCATTCTTTCGTCCGAACATATTTTGCAAAGAAGCTTATGCATGCTCCTTATCAGTGTGTTTGAATAGCTCTACCGACAATCCATCGGTCCCCGCCCCTTTGTTGTTCTTTAGGCGGGTAATTGTTATTTTAGCTTATACATGGTCGGGCAATGGAACGTCTGCTCCATCGTGTTCGCCTTCTTCTGGCGTTATATTTTCACTGCCATTAAGCAAATGGAAAAGTGTTCTCTCTATAATTTTAGTATGCTCTGGACATCAGTCGCTAGATCACTTTTGGAAGTTCAACAAGAGTATGCTCCGGTCCTTCTGTTCGCATAACTTTAAAGCATTACTCCTGTCGGCCAGCTTGTCAAGCTTTTCA